CAGGGAGAGTCAGAGACAGAAAGTGAGAAATCACCCCCAGGGGGGATGGCCATGCTGCAATCCCTTCTCCTCCATTCGCCTCTCAGGATCTTGGGTACGCACGCACACGCACCTGGCGTGAGTTTGAGCCACCGGGTCTGGGTCTAGAACCTCAATCGACTATGGGAGTCCAGCGATGTAGCCACTTGCTATCTGTTGGTTCCTTCTTTTTCTTTTTTCTTTTAGACATTTTTTGCTATTAAGCCTGTGTGCTTGCTGGTGAGACAGAGAGACAGAAAGCGAGAAATCACCCCCCAGGGGTATGGCCACACCACAGTCCTTTCTCCTCCATTCTCCTCTGGGGGGTTTGGGCACTCTTACGCGTGCGCCTGGCGTGAGTTTCGAGCCGCTCGGTCGGGGACTCTAACCGTGGTCCACCACATGGGAGTCCAGCGCCGGCACCACTACGCCCCCTGCTGGTCCTGCCTTGCCCTTTCTCAGTTGAAGTGGGTCCTGACCCCCTGCCTGGCCCCGCCCCGTCTCAGGTTCAGCCAGCAGCAGGCGTTCCTACAGATTCTCCAGGAGGTGAACGACTTCGCAGGCCAGCGGGAGCTGGTGGCCGAGAGCCTGGGCGTGCGCGTGTGCCTGGAGCTCGCCAAGTACTCGCAGGACATGAAGCAGGAGCGGAAGCTGGTGAGCGAGCCCCTCCATGCGTCTGGTCGAGGGCTTCTGCAGAGACGCGGGGCCGCGAGCCTTATCCTTCCCCTTTCCGCAGCACTTCCAAGAGGGCCGGCGGGCCCAGCAACAGCTGGAAAACGGCTTCAAACAGCTGGAGAGTGTGAGTTTGCAGGGGCGGCGGCTGCCCCGGCTCAGAGGAGCAGGACGCAGGTTACTGCTCTGCAGGGCTGCCCGCTGTCGGGCCCGGGCTCCCTCTCCCTGCATGGCTTCCCAGCATGCCCTTACCTTGGGGGCACCGCAGCGCCTTCACGGCGATTCCCTCCCCTGCGCAGAGTAAGCGGAAGTTTGAACGGGACTGCCGGGAGGCGGAGAAGGCAGCGCAGACGGCCGAGCGGCTGGACCAGGATATCAACGCCACCAAGGCGGATGTGGAGAAGGTGGGTGTGGAGTCTGGGCGCCGGGGTGCAGGGTGGGACGTGGCCCGAACCTGGCAGGACCCTCCGCCCGCCTCCGTCTTCAGGCCAAGCAGCAGGCCCACCTCCGGAGTCACATGGCAGAGGAAAGCAAAAACGAATACGCCGCGCAGCTCCAGCGCTTCAACCGAGACCAGGCCCACTTCTATTTCTCCCAGATGCCCCAGATATTTGATGTGAGTCCTCCAGGCACCCAGGCCCACCTCCCTGAAGCAAAACTCCCAAAGTTAACCAACTCCTATGCAGCCGTCAAAACCCCAGCCGCCATGGCCTGATCTCTAGATTGAAAGGGAAGTAGAAACCAGTAGGAAGGTTAAGCCGTTTGTGCCAGGGATACTGCTCTTTCCTTCCGGACTCCTGCATTCTTCTGAGCTGCAGCCCTGCCAGACCCCTCTCATTTCATGGCCCTTCTCTTTCAGCCTCAGCTTCCACTCCCTGTCCCCACTGTGGCAGTTGGGGGCCTATTGTCTTCAAAGCCCTGTCAGTTAACGCCTCCTTTGAGAAGCCCTTCCTGATTCCCTTGGGCAAGGGGCTTCCCCTGAGGTCCCCCGAGCTCCCTCTCTCCTCCCGTTAGGGGGAGCACCATCTGCACCCCTCTGCCGCGGGTCCCTCCGTGAGTACCCATGCGCTGCACCCGCCTCATCCCTGCAGAAGCTACAGGACATGGATGAGCGCAGGGCCACCCGCCTGGGGGCCGGGTACGGGTTCCTGTCCGAGGCTGAGCTGCAGGTGGTCCCCATCATCGCCAAGTGCCTGGAGGGCATGAAGCTGGCGGCCGATGCGGTGGACCCCAAGAACGTGGGTGCCTGGTCTGCACCCGGCCGGCAGAGGAGGGGGGTCTGGGGCGCCTGCCGCGCCCCGGCCCCCCCGCCGCACCCCTCCCCAGGACTCCCAGGTCCTCATTGAACTGCACAAGTCTGGTTTCGCCCGGCCGGGGGACGTGGAATTCGAAGACTTCAGCCAGCTCATGAACCGCGCGCCCTCGGACAGCAGCCTGGGCACCCCTTCAGACGGCCGGCCGGAGCTGCGTGGCCCGGGGAGTCCCGGGCAGGAATTTTCCTCTTGGCTGTGGGCCCGGGCTGGAGGGAGGAGAGGGGGCCGGCCGATTGGCTGGGGAGTCCCCTGAGGCTGAGGGAGACAGGCTTGGGGGGGCTGGGCTGTGGCGTCTGTCTGCTGCTGCACAGGGTGATGGGAGAAGACCTGCTTGTGGAATTTGGGGCTCACCCGGGTCCCCCCTGGAGATGCTGCCCCAGGGACTCCTAAAATTCTCTGTCTGTCCCTCCCATGGGTCTCTGGGCCTCGCCCCCTCACGCCCCTTTTTCTGGAGTTTTCGGCATCAGTACCAGGCATTCACCTGGACACCTGGTATACCTCGGGCAGCCCTCCGCCTTCCCTAGGGAATAGCGTTGACCCCCCTGGTTGGTGTTTTGGACCCTCTTGACTTACTCTTTGATGCTCTTTGCTCCTGGCTGCCACCTTTGGCTTCTCTCCTGGACCCCCCACCCCAATTCCCCTGCCTGGACACCCCTCAGCCTGGCCTCTCGCTCCTCTTCCTGTTTGAGACCCTGTTCCCCGCATGTCCGCCCCAGCCTCTAGACTGTGGGCCCAGACAGTGAGGCCGTCGGAAATTGCAGCCTTCCTGCCTCCCCGGCTCCTCTGTGGTGGCTGGGCGCAGGATTCGAGGGCCAGAGGCCGTGGGGGGCGGAGGGGGTCTGGCCCTGCGGCCCACGGTCTGGCGCCCTCCCACCGCCTCCCAGATGTCCCTGTCACTCCCGCACGTGTGTTCTCTGTGTGCTCGTGCATCTTGAGTTGTGGTTTTCTTACCGTGTTTTTCTTTCTCCCATTTTTGTTTCTCCTTTTTTTCTTGGTTGCGTCCGTCTGTGTGTCCTTCCGTCCATCCGTCCGTGTTCTCTACACCTTCCTACCTCCCCCGCCCCGCCCACTCCCCCGCCGGTAGCCACGCCCCCCACCTCTCTCCCCCTTGGGGGGCCCCCTACCCACGGCACTGCCTAATGGACCCCCATCCCCCCGCTCCGGCCGCGACCCCCTGGCCATACTGAGCGAGATCAGTAAGTCGGTCAAACCGCGGCTAGCGTCCTTCCGCAGCCTTCGAGGCAGCCGTGGGGTAAGTGAGGCCTCGGGGGAGGAGGAGCTGGTGGCCCTAGTCCGCCCAGCGGCCGGGTGGCGGGACCCTGGGCTCGCTTTCCTGCCGCTGGCTGGGCCCCCTCCCCAGGTTGCCCAAGACCTGCTTTGCTCTGTGCACGGCCTCGCGCCTCTGAACCTCGGTTGGGGAGGAAGGTGGACGTGATACGTCCCGGGGAGTGTGCAGAGCCTGGAAGCGGAGGCTCGGTGATCCCACACCGAGTGGGCCGTCCCACCTTGCAGACAGTGGTGACCGAGGACTTCAGCCACCTGCCCCCGGAGCAGCAGAGAAAACGGCTCCAGCAGCAGCTGGAAGAACGGAATCGGGAGCTGCAGAAGGAGGTTGACCAGAGGTGAGCTGCGCGTGGGGAGGGCAGGCACGAGCTGAACAGAGCTAGATTTCAAGTGGATCTCCCCTGCAAGCCCCAGGCCCTGCTGGTGTTACAGGGGAATGCCACCACACTTACCAGACACCGTCACTGCCAGCGTGGACAAGCCATGGCAGGACACAGAGCAGGGAAAGCTGTCAGCTTGCTAAGGAGGGTGGAGGGGTCTCAAGTCCCAAACCAGCGGGCAAGAATTCATAGGGACCAGCAGGTGGTGTAAGGGTTGCGTGGTTGGACTCCCACGTAGTCTACCACGGTTCAAGTCCCAGACCTGGTGGCTTGAAACTCACGCCGAGTGCATGTGCATGCGTGCCCAAGATCCCGAGAGGAAAATGGAGGAGTATGGATTGTGGCGTGGCCATGCCCCTGGGGGGTGATTTCTTGCTTTCTGTCTCTCTGTCTCTCTCTCCGTCTTTCTGGTGAGCGCATGCGCCCTATAGCAAGAACCTCTCCAAAATAATAATAATAACGAATAAAATAATTTAAAAAAAGAATACAAGGAGACTTCAGGAAGTTCATGGGAAAATGAAATTAACGTACGAGTTTATGTTGGTGCAAAAAAATTGAAATTCATGTGTACTTTCTGCATGATGCACTTTTCCATAAGCTTTTTGGGAGACCTCTTCCTGTGAAAATTATACAGGAGTTGGAATGTACTTAATACTGCAGAACTATCTGTTCAAAATTGTTATAGCAGTGAATTTTGCATTAAATCTATTTTTCCACATGCCAAAAGAAAAAAAAAAAGAATAGGCTCACAAAAAAGAAAAGAAAAGAAAAAAAACACACATAATCAGGATACAGTCAGTTGGGTGTTATCCTAATAATGTAAAGGTGGTTCAGTATTAAAAAAAAATCGGAGACCAGCAGTTGGCGTAATGGCTATGTCGCTGGACTCCCATGTAGTCAACATGGTTCAAGTCCTGGACCCGGTGGCTTAAACTTACACCAGGCGTGTGTGCGTGCGTGCCCAAGATCCCGAGAGGAGAATGGAAGAGAAGGGATTGTGGTGTGGCCATCCCCCCTGGGGAGTGATTTCTCACTTTGTCTCTCTCTCTCTGGCAAGTACACATGCGCTAAGGCAAAAACCGCTAAATAAAAAATGATACTCAGTCTAGTTCACCATATTAATTACCTGAAAGAAAAAAGTGGGGCCAACAGGTGGCGGAGTGGTTAAGTGCTGACTGTGGCGCCACGTGGCTGACTGTGCAGTTTGAGTCCCGGCCCCAGCAGCTAAAAAATATACCAAGCGCGTGTTCGTGCGTGCCCCAAATCCTGATAGGAGAACTGAGGGGAAGGGATTGTGGCATGGCCATCACCCCCCAGGGTGGGGACGGTCATTTCTCACTTTCCCTCTCTCTCTTTGTCTCTGGCGAGTGCACATGCTCTATTGCAAAAATGAAAAGAAAAGAAAGAAAAAGAAAAGCATATGGTTATCTGTTTAATAATTCAAACACTTAAAATATTAATAAAAGAAACTGCCAGTTTTTTCAAAAAGGAAATCTTTACTCATTCTTTCCAAACAACAGAATCCTCTTCCCAGTCCTGTTACATAATAGAAATGACGTTCACGACTTGCAAACCCACAGCCAAATTTTATTTTGCAGTTTGCATGTAACCGCTTGGACGGCGTAGCTTTTACTGGGCTCTAGTTCCACTTGGGATTTTGTAGTTCCTGGGGCTTGATGGTGCCAGGGTTATGGGTGTCGGCTCTGAGATCAAAACCAATTGGTCCTAGATCCCAGCTCTGTCTCAGAGGTCCTCGGTAACATGCCTCATTTTTCTTCATAATTCTTTATTTTTATTTATCGTTATTATTTTTTGGAGAGGTTTTTTGCTATAGGGTGCGTGTGCTCGCCAGAAAGACAGAGAGACAGAAAGTGAGAAATCACCCCCCGGGGGGGATGGCCACGCTGCAATCCCTTCTCCTCCATTCTCCTCTCGGGATCTTGGGCACGCACGCACACGTGCCCAGCGTGAGTTTAAGCCACGGGGTCCGGGACTCGAACCGCGGTTGACTGTATGGGAGTCCAGTGACATAGCTATTATGGCAACTGCTGGTCTCATTATTATTATTTTTTAAAGTTGTTACAGGGAACATATGTTCATCAGAGAGGGGAGAGGGAGTGAGAAAGCAAGCCACCAGGTCTGGGACTCAAACTGCAGTCGGCTGTGTGAGAGTCCAGCACCCCAACCACGATGCCACGCATTGGTCCCTTTTTATTCCTCAGTTTCTTCCTCTGTAATGTGGGTCAGGTGTTAGAACTGGAAGGAGGTTGAGGCTAGGTCTAATAGAGTCTAAATATAAAAATAAATTATTGGGACCAGCAGTTGGTATAATGTTGCTGGCTATGTCGCTGGACTCCCATGTAGTCGACCGTGGTTCGAGTCCCGAACCCCATGGCTTAAACTCACACCAGGCGTGTGTGCGTGTGTGCCCAAGATCCCAAGAGGAGAATGGAGGAGAAGGGATTGCGGCATGGCTATCCCTCCCTGGGGGGGGATTTCTCACTTTCTGTCTCTTTGTCTCTCTTTCTGGCAAGTGCACGCGCCCTAGAGCAAAAACCTCTAAAAAAAAAATAAAAATAAAAACTATTGGGACCACCAGATGAAGTGGTGGTTAAAATGCTGGACACTTCCATATGGCTGACCATGGTTCAAGTCCCAGACCTGGTGGTTTGCTTTCTCACTTACTCTCTCTCTCTCTCTGATCAAATTAAAATAAATGAATGAAGAAATAAAACTAAATAGATCATTCTTTTTTAAAAAAAGAATTATTATTTATTTTATTTATTTATCATTATCTTCATTCTTCAATTTGGTACAGAACACGTGCACTCACCAGAGACAGAGAAAAAGTGAGAAAGCAAGCTGACAGGTCCAGGATTTGAACCGTGGACAGCCAGCACCTTAGCTACCATGCTACCTGCTCCCCAAATAAACTTCTATTTTTTAAAATTATTTCATTTAACTTTATTTTATTTAGTTAGTTATTTATTTTCATTTGACCAGAGAGAGAGTGAGAGAGAGAGAGAAGGAAAGTGAGAAAGCAAGCCACCGAGTCCAGGACTCAAACTGCGATTGGCCATGTGGGAGTCCAGCGCCCTTAACTACCACACCACCTGCCAGCCCCCCAAATAAACTTTTTTCTAGCCATTCTACCTGTGTATGTAGACACAGAGGAGACAGGGATGGCAGCGTGATTATGACAGCATTGATGAATCACCTGTTGTATTCCAAGGGCTGAGGGTACCAAACCCTTGATATGACTTCCCTGGAATTCTCAGACTTTCCTGAGAGAGTGTAAGCAGCTTGAGGACCCTGTTTTATTTAGTGCTGGATTTCTTTCCTTTTTTTTAAAGATTATTCTTTCCATGAGCACTTGAGAGAGACAGGGACAGCACGCCCCTGTGAAGTCCCGATGCGCTTCGCCCCCAGACTCAGCCATCTTGGGTCACGTGTGTGCTGGCACAGTCAGGGAGGCCTCCGGACTTGAACTGGGAACCCTCTCCGGTGGGATTGCCTCTTGGGCGCGCCACTGTCAGGCCCCTAATGCTAGGATGGTGTTCAGTAGGTGTTCAGCATGGCTTTGAACAGTTAAGTAATAGCCAGGACTTGCAGGCTGTTGTCCTAATCCTCATAGCCATCCATGGGTGATATATGTATCATTATTCTCATTTTCTAGTTTTGTTTTTTTTTTCGGGTTTTTGCCACAGGGTGCATGTGCTCACCAGAGAAAGAGTGACAGAGACAGAGAGAGGGAAAGTGAGAAATCACCCCCCGAGGGGATGGCCACGCTGCAACCCCTTCTCCATTGTCTTCTCGGGGTTTTGAGCACACACACATAGACATACCTCATGTGATTTTCAGGCTGCCAGGACTGGGACTCAAACCGTGGTCAACCTTAGGGAATCCAGCCCCTTGACCCCACACCACCTGCGGGCCCCTTCTTTTCTTTTTGAATTGCCACAGGGTACATGTGCTTGTCAGAGACAACAGAGAGGGGGACAGGGAGGAAGCACCCCCCAATGGAGCATGGTCATGCTGCAATCCCTTCTCTATCCTGTCAGAATTTAGGGTGCACACACATGTGCTGCATGTGGTTTTCAGGCTACCGGGGTGTGGATTTGAACCATAGTCAGCCATGTGGGACCCGGCTCCCATAACCACCGGGCCACAGGACCAGCCCTCCCTATTTTCTTCTTCTATTTTTTTTTTTTTAAGATTTTTTTTAAACATTAATTTATTTAACTTTATTTATTTCGATTTGACCAGAGAGTGACAGAATGAGAGAGAGGGAAAGCGAGAAAGCAAGCCACCAGGTCCAAGACTTGAACCGCGAGCAGCCATATGGGAGTCCAGCGCCCTTAACCACTACACCACCTGCTGACCTCATGGCCCCGCTGTTTTCCAGCTAAACATATTGAGGGTTCTGTAACTGAATCTCAGCTCACACATCTAGGGAACACTCGGGAGGATTCGAACCTGCAGGCGAGCACCAACGTCAGAGTTCCCAATCACGGTCCTGTCACACTGCCTGCCTGTTTTCTGCACGTTAAATGACCCCGGACTACATGTTCTTCTGTCTGTTCCGTCCCAGGGAAGCCCTAAAGAAGATGAAGGATGTCTATGAGAAGACACCGCAGATGGGGGACCCCGCCAGCCTGGAGCCCCGGATCACAGAAACCCTGAATAACATCGAACGGCTGAAGCTGGAAGTGCAGAAGTATGAGGTCAGGGAAAGCCCTGGGGAGGGGCGGGGGCTGGCGGGGCGGGCTGAGTCACTGGCGGGTTGGGGACAGGGAGG